CCGCGAGGATGTCGAACTTCAGATCCTCGTCGTTGGGTACAACCACCCGTGGAGGATCAGTGGGCTCTACCCGATAATAGAGGAGGCCCTCCTTCAACTCATATCGGTGGAGCCGTGAGCGCTGTCGCGACGAGAGCCAGTCGGACTTCGCGCTCGTTCCGGCCTTAAGGAACTTGACGATAGGCGCGACAGCCTCATCGTCCCGATACGCCATGCGTATCCGATCATATAGATCCGTTGTCACCCGCGTGATGTGGGCCAACTCATAGTCGGGACGCCTAGCGAGGGCGTCCCGCAAGCACGTTGAGCTTGCCCGGCTTGTACTCGACGCCGAAGTTATATTCCGCGAAGAAGGACAGCCACCTCGCCATCCGTTGGGAGAGGTGAGGCGAGTTAGTCGCCGTCCTCAAGGACGCGTGGTCTGTGTAGATCACAAAGGGCGTAGAGCCCAGAAGGTGAACACGGAACTTCACAAGGGCATATTTCATTGCCAGGAGCTCCTTGTCATGGACAGGGTAGTTCCGCTCGGCGGCTTTGAGCTGCCTGGACTGGAATGAGATGACTCGTTCCTGTCCAGCCGTGTCGTCCTGCAGCAATGCACACCCGATGGCGTAATCGGAGGCATCGCAGACGACGCTAAACGGCTTCGTCTCGTCCGGCAGAGCCAGGACAGGGGCCTCTTGGAGACTGGCCTTGATGCTGTCAAAAGCATCCTGGTGCTCTTGCTCCCAGCGCCAGTCGACGTCCTTCTGAAGGAGGCTCGACAAGGGCTTAGCGAAGCCCGCGTACCCAGCGCTGTACTTGTGAAGGTAGTTGGCCAAACCCAACCACTTTCGAAGATCCTTCTGGGATCGGGGCGTCGGCCATGCTGCTATGGCCTTGACCTTGTCTGGGTCAGCCCGAACGCCCACGTTGCTTACGAAGCAACCGAGAACTTTGATCTCTGGTGACGCGAAAACGCACTTGTCGATGTTGGCGTAGAGCTTGTTCGCTCGCATCACGTCCAACACTCGACGGAGGTGTCCTAGATGCACCTCCATGGCCGTTTTGCCTCCCTCGGCACGGCTATGGACGAAAATGTCGTCGAAGTACGTCTGTACGAAGGTACGCAAAGGGCGGAACAATTGCGTCACCAGGCGATTGAACGTCGCCGGGGCGTTAGACAAGCCCTGCGGCATGACGAGCCACTCCCAAAGCATGCCGCTTGGAGTGCTTACCGCGGTGAGCGGGATGTCACTCTCTCGCATCAGGATTTGGTAGTATCCGTCTACCAAATCCAGCGCACTGTACAGTACGCTCCCCGGCCATGTTGTTCAACAACACATCCTTTCGTGGGGATCGGTGTTTGGGCCGGCACCGTTGCGTTGTTCAGCTTGTTATAAGCGTGAACCAGACGCCACTTTCCGTTCGGCTTACGAACGCAGAAAGTCGGCGTCGAGTGCGGGGATTTCGACTCCCGCACCATGCCTGCCTTCGCTTTCGCGGCGAAGAAGGCATCAATGACCTCGCACTGTTCGCGCGGGAGAGGCCATTGCCTCGTGACACAATACTTTGTGCCGGGCACGAGATCAATCTCGTGCCGTACGCCTCGATCCGGTGGGAGTTGGGTCGGTGGGTGTTTATTCACCACGTCCGCATACTCCGTCACCAAAGGATACACCGGATCCTTGGGGTTCTTGAGAATCTCAGAACCCAAGCGCGCCTGACGCTGCTTGTTCATGTCTTCCAGGACGTTCTCGTCCAAGACAGAGGAGGAGTTCAGCTCCTCCTGAGTGGTCTCAGGTCTCATGAGTACCATCTCAGCGATCTCTCCAGCCTTGAGGTTGGCCAGGAAAGACTCAGCCGTCATTTCCTCGAGGTTCAGTATCTCTGCAACCTCTGGCAACGGTTCCAAGTGGACACCAGATGCCTTGACGGGTAAACCCGTCTCGCTATCGAAGATGTGATAACACTCTTCCACCGGCCTTGTCGGAGGAGCCCGGGCCCTGGACTCCGAGTCGCTTGAAGCGACGTCGATCGGAACGAAGTTCGGATCCGACTTGAGGCGGCGGCGGCGTCTCTGCCGACGGCTTCTGTGACGGGGAGCTTTGCTGCCCACGTCTAGGGATGTCGTCGCTACGACATCCGAGGCACTCGTGGCCTCGTGTGGTACTGTTGTACCCACACAGGAAGCGTGTTCCACGCCTTCCTCTTCAGTTAGGGTCTGGGCGACCGCGTGTGGCACTGTGTTACCCACACAGGAAGCGTATCCGACGTCTTCCTCTTCAGTTATGGTCTGGGCGACCGTGTGTGGCACTGTGTTACCCACACAGGAAGCGTATCCGACGTCTTCCTCTTCAGTTATGGTCTGGGCGACCGTGAGTGGAACTCTGTTACCCACTCTGAACACGCTGTTCTCAGTGTTCATGACAGCTGCAGCTGTCTGCGGAACTAAGTTACCCGCCTGTGGACCTAAGTTACCCACTTGGCCGGCGCCTCTTCTGGGCGCGGCCACCATCAAAACATCCTCGGAGTCGTCATATACGTCGACGACTCCCAAGCATCTGCCGGATGCTTTGGTACCCTGGCAGCCCTCGCGGGCGCCCCGGGTCCTGACAGAGGTGGGAACATGACTCACCAATGCTCTGTCGGACTGCGCAGGGCGGCTGGCACCGATTGCCTTGCCTCGCCAGTCGATCCAGGGCTCGTGCTTCTCGAGCCAGGGCATGCCCAGGATCATATCATATGGATCCATATCGAGAACAGTGAACTGTTCGAGGCTGTCAAAGTCTTCAAACTTGACAGCCAGATCCACTTGGACGTTGGGGACAGTGACGACCTTCCCGTCGGCCAGTCGCACTGACACCGTCCCGTTGCCCTTGCTTTCTCGCAAAGCTTCGGACAACTTGTTGCTGTTACGAGCAACCGTCTGGCGGCGTGCGAAATTCTTCGACGCCCCAGAGTCAATCAAGATTCTAAAGGGGTGATCGTACCCCCGTACACATCCGTGTACTACGAGCAACCCGCCGCTGCTCTTCGCCGATTCGAGAGTGCGAAGACTCTCAGGGGCTAAGTCCCCGTGGTACGCGCCACCCGCGCACCCATCACGAAGACTTAGTTCTTCCCCAGTAGGGCGCCCCGCCCCTACTGGTTCCCTGCGTTCCCCTGTCCCCGGGATCCTGGCTTCTGCCAGCGACCCTTGAGGACGGGCTTGGGGAAGGACCGTCTGCGGAGTCTTTCCGCGGGACAGTCGCGCTTGAAGTGGCCCATCTTCCCACAGCCGAAGCAGCGGATGTCACGCTGTTCGGCGGACCCGAGTTCCATGGGAACTGGTCCGTTGGGGCTTGTTCGACCGGGAGCCGACAAGGAACTCCCAGGCCACGCTGAGGCCGGCGTACGCGCCTGGCGATGGCTGTATTCTTCTTGAAGAGCCACTTGAATCGCCTCTTCAAGGGTGTTTGCCTGCACCCGGAACAGCTGAGTGCGTGCGGGGCCCACTCGAAGGCCGTCCATGAACACAGTCATCTTGATGTGTTCATTGAGTGGGTTTCCCACTAGGGACGCCGTGAGCTCCCGTATCTCTTGCACATACTCGTGCAGTTCGCGTCTTCCTTGTTTACACGCGAGGAAGCGCGAACGCTGGCGGTACTCGTAGTTCGCCGGGAGGAACGCGGCTCGGAGCTGTTCGCACAGCTGAGCCCAGGATGTGAAACATCCAGGGGATGTCGCTTCCCGAGTGTACACCCAACTCTTAGCACGACCGCTAAGGTTGGAGAGTGCAAAAGCAACACGCAGTTGCTCGGTCGAGATCAGAGCCGCGTCCATCGCGAGCTCTACTTCTCGGACCCAGAAGTGAAGGTTCTCGCCTTCCTTCCCTTCATACGGCTTTACCTTCAGCCGTATTGGCTTCGGGTGAGGCGGGTTTGCTCCCGCCGCCGGAGCCTGCAGGTTCTCCCGCACATGCGCGATGAGGCCCTGCTCGTACGCGTCGAATGCATTGACGCGCTCGAGCTGCTCAGCCGGTGTTGATACCACCAGGCTCTGCAGGGCCTCCATCCCGAAGATGCCTGCCATCTTCCGAACCGACTCGAACTGAGAGTCGTTCATATGGGAGAAGTCGTTCCTATCCATGGCAACGAACTTCGGAGGTTCAGGTAGTCTACCCGCGATGGCGTGGATTGACTACAAGTGCTACCAAGTGTGACGGGGTCACACAGCACCTTGCGCTAGAGGAAGTTATCTTCCGAGAGTATACAAACTCTCAGTGAACGGCAGTTCACTGGTCCCCTCTTTAATTAAAGAGAGCGAAGTGACCTAAATAAGGTAGATTGTAAACTGAGTATATTTATAGGTAGGTTAAGTTTGAGGTTAATACAAACTATCAGTTACCTATAGTAATGCAATGTCATTTAACCAATGGTTGGTTTTGAATGACCTTGGTACCTTGTACCAAATATCCCGGAGTATGACATGTCATACTCCTGAAGTGTGAAGTGTCACACTTCATGTAACCAGGGTACACTTAGTGCTACGTACCCCGTTACATCGTCGGCACACAAAGTATTGTACAGCGGCGTTCTTAGGGTGGGAAATAATCCTGTATAACGTTCAGCAGGTATTGATGGCAATGTGTTGCCCAAAGCGTTTTCCCACAACGAGTGAGCGTAGAGGGAGGACCATCCCACAACGGCATAAAAGCGGACGCCACACTTATCCGGCTTGGAGGGCATAAATGGCTTCGCCCGTGACCTGGCCTTAGTTCGAGCAGTCATCTCGTCAATACTGCTAACGCCCACGGGCACTGCATACTCTGCAAAGCGCTTCTGGAAATGCTTCATAATCCTCTACAACGCCACAATGGGTCTTTTTACTTGTCAAAGGTCGGGCGTTCTGGTGGGTGTAACGTCAGTGCTCCACGTATCTGCTGAAATAGCGTCCTTGTCATTGTTTCAATAAAGGCAGACTGGCCTAGAAAGCGGTGATCAGACCAAAACGCGGCAATCTCATTCATTGGACAAAAACGCATCGCAATTTCGAGACCTATATAGGCGTTGTACTCACTATCCGTAAAGCAGTATGACCGTCAAAGACCAATACATCCCACGTCCATTTACGCAGGCGATCTTTCAGTGTGGAGGTGAAGAACAACGCAAATACACCGACTTCTCGCTGGGAATCGTATGCGTTTGCCACTTTGTCTGATATAGCATCGTGTAGACTGCTGTTATCGCGGAGAGAAGCGATATACTGCTCTGCTATGACACTATTTGCTTCCCAGATAGCCCGACAAGCTTGCACAGTAGTATCACCAGCAGCGCTCTCCTCTACTTCAGTACCGCAATCCTCTTCTCCGGTGTACACCACTGGCTCCAGTGCTTGCAACACCTTAAGAAGCATCACGGTCGACTCCTGATACGTCGTCCTTCGCGGCTTCGACTTCCCAGTCGCCTGGCAGGTCGTCAACGCTACCATCTTCTCTCGACATGGTGTTCGTGAGGTCTGGGTCGAATCTTTGTAACTGAGGGGGGGGATACCTCTAATACGCTTATATCACTGAGTTGTCGTAGTAACGTAGCGCAGGGAGATGCTTCGGAAGGGGTCGATTGAAAATGACAGGTCAACTCCGACACCTGACTTTGATCGGGCTAAACACCTACCTTTGACCGACCTAATGTCCGAATGGCTGGCATTCACCCGGCACTCAGAGATTTACTATGCTGTCAGAATTTGAGGTGACGTACGCATTAGATATTGGTTGGAGAGGCTTTGTTCCCATTACGTTTTTTTGATTGATATAGCTACGGTGGCTAGTGTGCTGGGAATTTCCGACCGCAGTCTCGTTCGGTGGTACAATCTTTTTCGCACGATAGGCAATGTGCTTAAAGCTGGTCTCGTTCAAAGACATCAATGTGGCCTCGCGACGTATGTGCTTTCGTACAGGAGTTTGTGAAAGTTAATCCGCGTTTTACTTCGCAGAGCTACGCAGCGACCTACATACACGCTACAAAGACTCTATCAACGTCCGACTCGACAATAGGTCGTGCGCTACGCTTTAGCCTAAATCTAACAAGGAATGTGCTCACTAAACGCCCAAGGGAAAGCGTACCTTGCGAACGCCGCGAGTATGCTGGTCGTCTCGCTCCCTTCAACTGTAGTACAGACCACTTTTTTTGTCGACGAAACATCAAAAGACGAATGGTCAGTTATTGTTTGTGTTTTATTTAAATGATAAATATATTTTTACTTACTTTTTTGTAGATTCGTACTGCATCGATATGGCTGGTCTGCCAGAAACACGCCGGCGCATGCAACTATACCGTTTAGTCGCGGTAAACGAGTCTCCCTCCTTGCCGCAATGGATTCCAAAGTTTTTTTGCGTGGGGTAATGTTGAGGTCTGCTAGTTTTCTCAAAGTCTTCAAGACTGCAATTCTACCCTTACTTAATCCGTGGCCATTGCCACGATTAGTTGAGGGAATGGGCAATGCTAAGATCCACTTGTACAAAGAACTTCGGGATATGATTCACGAGAGAGGGATTTAACTCTTTTTCCTACCCCCTACTTGCCAGACCTCAACTAAATTGAAGTCGGGTTCTCGTTTGCTTAAGCGATGGCTCCAACGCCATGCGCATATAGCGTTTTGTGAAGATCCGATCGCAGTTCTTAATGCTCTTATGTAGTCGTACACAAGGCAAAAAAGGATACAGGAGAAAAATTGTATAGCTACTGTGGTTATAAGTAAAAATGTATTGTCAAAACCAGAAATGTAGGTACCTCAGGACATGAAAGAGCTTGTGTTGTTCTTAGCTGTCAATGCGATCGCTATCCATGTTGTCCGCGGGGGCCGGCGTCGATACCTCGGTCGGCTCTCTACATGGCGCTGGAGCTGGGGAGTTCGAGAACATCGCGGACGTCCAGACTGGCATACCCTGAATCTTGATACGCACAAGCCCGTAATTAGCATCAACAAGCACCTGTCCTCCTTGCATTGCGTCGTCCATCGCTGTTTGCTGCGCGTCGATCGGTGGAATGATGTGTTGACAAGTATGACTAGCGGTACCTCGCCCAGAAGCCTTGTTTGTGCAATTGCCAGGTAGTGCTGTGTAGCAAGGTCAGCCGTGATTCCCTGTTCTCGCAGAAGGCCGGCAGCACGAGGCATTTGTTCTTGAATGCTAGTCGCAGCAGCTCGTCGCAGAATCGTCGTTCTCTCGACAGGTTTTGGTACGTAAATGTATAGCTCAAGCACGAAACCTGCTTGCCCGCTGTTCCGCGCCTTGCTTTGTGTTATGTGTTATCGAGCTGAACTTGCATAGCGCTACTGTCGCTGCAAAAGACCTGAAAGTCCTTTTAAAAACCGTTATTGTGGGGTATAAGTAGATGAAAGAAGTCGGAGCGCCACTGGCCGGTAGTTTGTTCACAAAATGCTCTTCCACTTTGGCGTGAAGAACACGGTACCCGTCTGCAATTCTGAATACAAACGTAGGAGAAGGAGCAAGTTGGTTACGACACGATCCGTAAGGATTCCCATTCTTAATAAAAAAACGGCAGGTAAGACTCGTTTAAAGAGGAATGACTGACTCCATTCCAAAATTAAAATGAGTAACAGCAACAATTATTAAGGCTTACCATACACGCAGTACCAGCGTCGTCCACCAGGCTTGAGGTCAGGGCTCCGTCAGTGCTGGATCTCTGGCGCCATCTGCTCTCATAGCTTCTTGCGTCTTTACCGTCTAGCTGCCCAAATATTAGCCTCCGAGGAATCGAACCTCCATCATTCGCGTGCGAGTGTTTTTCGTTAAGCTACAGAGGTACTAGGGTGGTGAAGGCCGGTAGGTAGTCGCAAACAGGTGGTCGGACTTCGTCCTTGCCTTACAGTCGCCTTCATGCACGCCATCGTTCTCTGTGTCGACCTCTCCCGCTTGCCCTCCAGGCTGGAGGGCAAGCTGGAGTCCAGCTGCTTGATTCTTGAATGAGCGGACGCGACGGTGTGTGCTGGCTTCTATTCACAAATGAAGTGTTTTCTACTGATTGAAAAAAACGTTGAGGGGTGGGGTACATTTACGGGACGTGTCACTTGCCTTTCCAAAGCCAGATTTAGTTTTTCAAGTACCGGCGTAGTACTTGGTATTGAACACAGTAACATGTCTTTTTTATGGGTTTAATTACCCGGGCTATCTACGCAAGTGGCTACATGTAGCTACCTGGTTAAGAAGGAATTATCCCACGTTGGTGTGAGATACGCAATGGGTACATTTATTGGTCTGCATGCATTTAGGGCATTTATTGGCTGAAAGTCAATATCTTAAACCAACTAGAATTCTAGTGTTATGTCAACCATTCATAAGCAAATACCTTTCATTTAAAGTATTAGGTTAGGAGGAAACCCCAAACAAAACAAATAAGCAATTCTCAATTATGACGGAAATATGCTTTGCTATCATATTAAGTAAATCTATACTTAAGTGAAACGCAACTTGCGCTTCCTCATACACGTGCGCCAACGTGTAAGCTCAAGTAGTGGGCACAGAGTAGGCCTTTTACAGGCTCGGTACAGCTCCAATCCACTGTAGCATCGCTTGCACGCCAAAAGAAGCGCTGCATCTTCAAGTTACTGCAATCAACGAGCTGACTCAAACGCTTAGGAGCAAAATTTAGCTATGCTTTGTATAGCACGTCGTGTTTACCCCTACAAATAGCACGCGTGTCGGTGTCTGGCTCCATTACAAAGCACTATTTACCTTGACCTGCGATGTAACGGGGTACGTAGCACTAAGTGTACCCTGGTTACATGAAGTGTGACACTTCACACTTCAGGAGTATGACATGTCATACTCCGGGATATTTGGTACAAGGTACCAAGGTCATTCAAAACCAACCATTGGTTAAATGACATTGCATTTCTATAGGTAACTGATAGTTTGTATTAACCACAAACTTAACCTACCTATAAATATACTCAGTTTACAATCTACCTTATTTAGGTCACTTCGCTCTCTTTAATTAAAGAGGGGACCTGTGAACTGCCGTTCACTGAGAGTTTGTATACTCTCGGAAGATAACTTCCTCTAGCGCAAGGTGCTGTGTGACCCCGTCACACTTGGTAGCACTTGTAGTCAATCCACGCCATCGCGGGTAGACTACCTGAACCTCCGAAGTTCGTTGCCATGGATAGGAACGACTTCTCCCATATGAACGACTCTCAGTTCGAGTCGGTTCGGAAGATGGCAGGCATCTTCGGGATGGAGGCCCTGCAGAGCCTGGTGGTATCAACACCGGCTGAGCAGCTCGAGCGCGTCAATGCATTCGACGCGTACGAGCAGGGCCTCATCGCGCATGTGCGGGAGAACCTGCAGGCTCCGGCGGCGGAAGCAAACCCGCCTCACCCGAAGCCAATATGGCTGAAGGTAAAGCCGTATGAAGGGAAGGAAGGCGAGAACCTTCACTTCTGGGTCCGAGAAGTAGAGCTCGCGATGGACGCGGCTCTGATCTCGACCGAGCAACTGCGTGTTGCTTTTGCACTCTCCAACCTTAGCGGTCGTGCTAAGAGTTGGGTGTACACTCGGGAAGCGACATCCCCTGGATGTTTCACATCCTGGGCTCAGCTGTGCCAACAGCTCCGAGCCGCGTTCCTCCCGGCGAACTACGAGTACCGCCAGCGTTCGGGCTTCCTCGCGTGTAAACAACGAAGACGCGAACTGCACGAGTATGTGCTAGATATATGGGAGCTCACGGCGTCGCTAGCGGGAAATCTACTCAATGAACACATCAAGATGACTGTGTTCATGGACGGCCTTCGAGTGGGCCCCGCACGCACTCAGCTGTTCCGGGTGCAGGCAAGCACCCTTGAAGAGGCGATTCAAGTGGCTCTTCAAGAAGAGTACAGCCATCGCCAGGCGCGTACGCCGGCCTCAGCGTGGCCTGGGAGTTCCTTGTCGGCTCCCGGTCGAACAAGCCCCAACGGACCAGTTCCCATGGAACTCGGGTCCGCCGAACAGCGTGACATCCGCTGCTTCGGCTGTGGGAAGATGGGCCACTTCAAGCGCGACTGTCCCGCGGAAAGACTCCGCAGACGGTCCTTCCCCAAGCCCGTCCTCAAGGGTCGCTGGCAGAAGCCAGGATCCCGGGGACAGGGGAACGCAGGGAACCAGTAGGGGCGGGGCGCCCTACTGGGGAAGAACTAAGTCTTCGTGATGGGTGCGCGGGTGGCGCGTACCACGGGGACTTAGCCCCTGAGAGTCTTCGCACTCTCGAATCGGCGAAGAGCAGCGGCGGGTTGCTCGTAGTACACGGATGTGTACGGGGGTACGATCACCCCTTTAGAATCTTGATTGACTCTGGGGCGTCGAAGAATTTCGCACGCCGCCAGACGGTTGCTCGTAACAGCAACAAGTTGTCCGAAGCTTTGCGAGAAAGCAAGGGCAACGGGACGGTGTCAGTGCGACTGGCCGACGGGAAGGTCGTCACTGTTCCCAACGTCCAAGTGGATCTGGCTGTCAAGTTTGAAGACTTTGACAGCCTCGAACAGTTCACTGTTCTCGATATGGATCCATATGATATGATCCTGGGCATGCCCTGGCTTGAGAAGCACGAGCCCTGGATCGACTGGCGAGGCAAGGCAATCGGTGCCAGCCGCCCTGCGCAGTCCGACAGAGCATTGGTGAGTCATGTTCCCACCTCTGTCAGGACCCGGGGCGCCCGCGAGGGCTGCCAGGGTACCAAAGCATCCGGCAGATGCTTGGGAGTCGTCGACGTATATGACGACTCCGAGGATGTTTTGATGGTGGCCGCGCCCAGAAGAGGCGCCGGCCAAGTGGGTAACTTAGGTCCACAGGCGGGTAACTTAGTTCCGCAGACAGCTGCAGCTGTCATGAACACTGAGAACAGCGTGTTCAGAGTGGGTAACAGAGTTCCACTCACGGTCGCCCAGACCATAACTGAAGAGGAAGACGTCGGATACGCTTCCTGTGTGGGTAACACAGTGCCACACACGGTCGCCCAGACCATAACTGAAGAGGAAGACGTCGGATACGCTTCCTGTGTGGGTAACACAGTGCCACACGCGGTCGCCCAGACCTTAACTGAAGAGGAAGGCGTGGAACACGCTTCCTGTGTGGGTACAACAGTACCACACGAGGCCACGAGTGCCTCGGATGTCGTAGCGACGACATCCCTAGACGTGGGCAGCAAAGCTCCCCGTCACAGAAGCCGTCGGCAGAGACGCCGCCGCCGCCTCAAGTCGGATCCGAACTTCGTTCCGATCGACGTCGCTTCAAGCGACTCGGAGTCCAGGGCCCGGGCTCCTCCGACAAGGCCGGTGGAAGAGTGTTATCACATCTTCGATAGCGAGACGGGTTTACCCGTCAAGGCATCTGGTGTCCACTTGGAACCGTTGCCAGAGGTTGCAGAGATACTGAACCTCGAGGAAATGACGGCTGAGTCTTTCCTGGCCAACCTCAAGGCTGGAGAGATCGCTGAGATGGTACTCATGAGACCTGAGACCACTCAGGAGGAGCTGAACTCCTCCTCTGTCTTGGACGAGAACGTCCTGGAAGACATGAACAAGCAGCGTCAGGCGCGCTTGGGTTCTGAGATTCTCAAGAACCCCAAGGATCCGGTGTATCCTTTGGTGACGGAGTATGCGGACGTGGTGAATAAACACCCACCGACCCAACTCCCACCGGATCGAGGCGTACGGCACGAGATTGATCTCGTGCCCGGCACAAAGTATTGTGTCACGAGGCAATGGCCTCTCCCGCGCGAACAGTGCGAGGTCATTGATGCCTTCTTCGCCGCGAAAGCGAAGGCAGGCATGGTGCGGGAGTCGAAATCCCCGCACTCGACGCCGACTTTCTGCGTTCGTAAGCCGAACGGAAAGTGGCGTCTGGTTCACGCTTATAACAAGCTGAACAACGCAACGGTGCCGGCCCAAACACCGATCCCACGAAAGGATGTGTTGTTGAACAACATGGCCGGGAGCGTACTGTACAGTGCGCTGGATTTGGTAGACGGATACTACCAAATCCTGATGCGAGAGAGTGACATCCCGCTCACGCGGTAAGCACTCCAAGCGGCATGCTTTGGGAGTGGCTCGTCATGCCGCAGGGCTTGTCTAACGCCCCGGCGACGTTCAATCGCCTGGTGACGCAATTGTTCCGCCCTTTGCGTACCTTCGTACAGACGTACTTCGACGACATTTTCGTCCATAGCCGTGCCGAGGGAGGCAAGACGGCCATGGAGGTGCATCTAGGACACCTCCGTCGAGTGTTGGACGTGATGCGAGCGAACAAGCTCTACGCCAACATCGACAAGTGCGTTTTCGCGTCACCAGAGATCAAAGTTCTCGGTTGCTTCGTAAGCAACGTGGGCGTTCGGGCTGACCCAGACAAGGTCAAGGCCATAGCAGCATGGCCGACGCCCCGATCCCAGAAGGATCTTCGAAAGTGGTTGGGTTTGGCCAACTACCTTCACAAGTACAGCGCTGGGTACGCGGGCTTCGCTAAGCCCTTGTCGAGCCTCCTTCAGAAGGACGTCGACTGGCGCTGGGAGCAAGAGCACCAGGATGCTTTTGACAGCATCAAGGCCAGTCTCCAAGAGGCCCCTGTCCTGGCTCTGCCGGACGAGACGAAGCCGTTTAGCGTCGTCTGCGATGCCTCCGATTACGCCATCGGGTGTGCATTGCTGCAGGACGACACGGCTGGACAGGAACGAGTCATCTCATTCCAGTCCAGGCAGCTCAAAGCCGCCGAGCGGAACTACCCTGTCCATGACAAGGAGCTCCTGGCAATGAAATATGCCCTTGTGAAGTTCCGTGTTCACCTTCTGGGCTCTACGCCCTTTGTGATCTACACAGACCACGCGTCCTTTAGGACGGCGACTAACTCGCCTCACCTCTCCCAACGGATGGCGAGGTGGCTGTCCTTCTTCGCGGAATATAACTTCCGCGTCGAGTACAAGCCGGGCAAGCTCAACGTGCTTGCGGACGCCCTCTCTAGGCGTCC